CATGCTTTCAGTTATTTTGGATATATTCTTAGAACTGGAATTCCTGGATCATATGGTGATTCCATGTTTTAATTTTTTGAGGAACTTTAATTAGTTTTAATATATCTGCATGAACTCTTGGTTTCTTATTTTATTCAATGGGTTATAATCTGTTAATATCATTGTTTATTTTGAGCTACAAATTATCCTCCAGTGGGAGGCCCTTCAGGTTGGCCCCTGTATCCTTTCAGTGTGTTCTCACTGTTTTTTTTTTTTTTTTTTTTTTGTGGCCGATAGGTATGGGGATCCAAACCTTTGACCTTGGGTGTTATAACACCATGTTGTAACCAACTGAGCTAACTGGCCAGACCTCTCACTGTAACTCTTAACTGGGGCACAATAAGATATTCCAAACTTATCATCTTACTTTTACTGCTTCAGAGCTGAAGTCAGCCATTTCTCTAAGGAGCCCAGTTCCTTTTACTGGAGAATGGCATTTAGAAACTAAGATAAGGGTGTTAGGTGTGCTGATTGCTACTGGGTGTCCATTGCTTCCAAACCCTTTCAGAAGAGAGTGCTAGGAAATGTATGTGTGTATGCATGTGTGTGCATGTGTATTCGTAAACACGCATACATACACAGAAGCTTTCATTTATGTTTTATATCTGTATAATTATGTCCATATATATATTAAAAATTAGAGGTTGCACTGATACCTCCAATTCCAATCTAACATCACAGTATTTACTGTGGCTTTCTCCCTCTCCATATTTGAGTCTTCCTCACTAACAGTGAGAAACCTGCTTATGCTATCCTCAATATGTTTACTTATTTATTAAATAGTTTATTTACTTGATTACTTATTTGCTCAGTCTTATTTCCTGTGCTCGATTTCCTGACCGTGTGTACTGTCTTTTGTGGCCTGGCCCCACCACTGCACTGTCTTAATGCCCCCAGCCCCAGTCCCACTGACAGTGTTCCCATCCCCACCTACTGTGCTAGCAGGATCACAGGCCCCTACCATGGGAAAGGTGGAGTGGCAGTGACGATCGAGAGGAAGAGCGGGGAAGGGGCAGGGAAGGTCTTGATTTATATTTTTATTTGCTGCTGCACTCATAAGGCATCTTGGCTGTTATGGTGTGGAAAGCAGTGCTGACAGAGTCCTGTGAGTTTCATTGTTCTCTTTCTCTCTCTTTTTTTTAAAGATGGTTTCACCCAAATATCACTGGCGTGGAGGCAGAAAACCTACTGTTGACAAGAGGCGTTGATGGAAGTTTTTTAGCAAGGCCCAGTAAAAGTAACCCTGGAGACTTCACACTTTCCGTTAGGTAAGTTGGAAGTAAAAGAGAATCCTGAGAGTGTTTTCCAGGTAGGAAATGGTAAAACCACACTTGGACAACTTGCTACCCTCATTTAGAGTTTGAAGGCTTGTCTGTCGCCCTCTTGTGAGGTCTTGCTGGAGCACTGGTCTGCTTACAGGGTTTAGGGAGTAGCCTCCTGGGAGTGAGAGGCCTAGGCATTTGGCAGAAGGGCCTTGATGGTGGGTATTTCTTTTTCCCCATAGAGACCCCCATGAGGGTGAGTTGGAGTGGACAAGAGGAGTTCTTGAGCCTTCCGGTGCTTGATCCTGGTTCCTGCGTTTTTCCTTTCCCTTCTTTTGATTTCTCAATGGGAAAAATGCTTTCTCTTTTAATATTTATTTTTCATTTTTATTTTTTTTTCCCAGACATAGACACGCCACACTGGAGGAAAAATATTTTTTAAGGGATTCTTCAGATCACTTTTCTTCGTCAAGATATCAAACATTACTGAGGAAGTTGTGGTCCTCTTTGTTCCCCTGCCCAGTCCCATTCCCCCCTCTTTCCCCAGAGGAAACCGCCATCAAGAGGTTGGCATATATCCTTCCTGAACATGTTTTTATACTTGTACTACATTTGTACTGTGTGCGAACAGTATAAAGGTGGTTTGTGTGTTTTTAAAATTCACACAAATGGTTTATAATGTATGTATCATTTTGCAGCTTTTTTAAATGTTTTGAGATCTATGCTGGTATGTATAGATCTAATTATTAATTTTAATGAGTATATAATTGTGTGTTTTTAAAATTCACACAAATGGTTTATAATGTATGTATCATTTTGCAGCTTTTTAAAATGTTTTGAGATCTATGCTGGTATGTATAGATCTAATTATTAATTTTAATGAGTATATAATAGTCAAATGGTGTGAATATACCAGTTTATCTCATCTCCTAGTGATGGACTTTGTTTTAAATTTTTATGAATAATATGGTGAATATCCTGTAACATGTCTCTGAGTAGGTGTGGGAGAGAAATTGACTTTCTCTTATATGCGTATACTAGCTCATTCTAGGAGTTACAACTGAACTGCTCTATGAATTTCTCGTATTATTATTATTATTTTTAAATAAAGAGGTAAGTAAAACATGTTCTTGAGAATTTATTTAGGTTCTCCTTGAGACTTGGGAAGTCCCTTTTTGGCATAGATTAGTTTCTTGAAGAGTCCCTTTCATTCATTAGCTTTTACTTTTGTTTTACTACAAGGAGTGGGTGGAAGACTTCATAAGTTTTGTGCGTTTGTCTTAGGACAGACTTCTAACCTAACCTTTGACATTTGAGCTGTAAGAGTTTGGATGGAGATTAAATAGTAATAACAATGATAATGATGATGACGATGACGATAGCAAACATTACTGAGGAATTGACAAATACTAGGCAATTGTGCTGAGCACTGTACACACATTATTTTATTTTTACCTGTGAATAAGTACCACTGTTATCATTATTTTACAGGTGAGGAAGCTGAGACACAGAGGTTACATGAGTAAGCTAGTCTCATAGCTAGTAAGCTGCATAGCCAGGACTACAGAACTAGTTTTTCTTTTTCTTTTTTCATTTTCCTCCAACTTTTTATTTTGGGACATTTTAGAGCTATAGAAAAGTTGAAAGATGAATACAGAAACCCTTTATTTCCTTCACCAGTTAACATTTTGCCATATTTGCTCTAAGGGTGTGTTTGCGTGTGTGTATACTTTTTTCATGAACCTTTTGAAAATAAGTTGCAGATATGATGACATTTATTTTTTCTTCTAATACTTCAGTGTGTATCCCCTACAAGGGCATTCTCCTGTTAAGAGTATCGGAATTTGCTGGCCAGTTAGCTCAGTTGGTTAGAGTGCAGTTTTATAACACCAAGGTCAGGGGTTCAGATCCGTGTATCAGCTGGTTGTTCCTCCCCACCAAATCAGAATAAACAAATGAGTGTTTTTTTCTATAATCTTACTCTGCAACAATCAACACACACTTCTGTGACCAAATATGTGGGGATTTTTCTCCACATACCAAGCAAGCAATTAGTTCTGCAGCAGACACCAGCTGGGTGAAAGAAAGTGAGCCGAAACGCCAGGTACCGATCAAGCTTTGTTAAAGGAAAAGAGTCTGCTGGGCTGCACTCAAAATGGAGAACAGCATCAGGTGTAGGGGTAGGAGAGCTTATATAGGGCACCAAGGGCTGGCTGATACAATCAAGGAGGGGCATTATGCTAATGCGGAAGCTATGCCACCAGGGTGGAGAATCGCACCCTTGCAGGAAGCAAAAGGGTTTCTGTTTCTCAGAAATCACGAGGTTTCTTACAAAGGGAGGGGCTGGCGACTATTTTGTGCTTACTGTGTGCAAAATGGCGCTGGTCACTTTCAAGATCCATCACTGGGGTGCCCTCCAATTCAATTCCAACAGTACCTGGAGATAGTGTCAGATCCCATATGTTAAGGGCTCAGTTCCCAAGACTGCTCCCCCACCCAACTTTAGATGCCAGTTGCAAGCCCCAGGTTGTAGAAGCCTGTGCTTCTGGCTGTAAACCCGGGTTCTTAGGATCTCCTCCTTGGGTTTGATTAATATGTTAGAGTGGCTCACAGAACTCAGGAAAGCTTATTTAACATTTACCAGTTTATTACAAAGGATGTTTTTAAGGATGTAGATAAACGTGCCAGGTGAAGAGATACACAGGGTGAGGTTTGGAAGGGTCCCAAGTGCAAGAGCCTTTGTTTGTCTTGTTGGAGCTGTCATGTGCAAGTGGATGTGTAAACCCCCATGTGTTGGCCATCCGGAAGCTCCCTGAACCCAGTCCTTTTTTTTTTTTTTTTTTTTTTTTTTTTTTTTGTTTTCTTGCCAGTAGAGGGATCTGAACCCTTGAACTTGGTGTAATAACACCAACTGAGGAAACTGGCCAGCCCCCTTTTGGGTTTTTATGGAGTTTCATTACACAGACATGATTGACTAAATCATTGGCCATTAGTGATCAATTTAGCCTTCAGCCCTCCCTTCCCTGAGATTGGGGGGTGGGGCTGAAAGTCCCAACTCTCTAAGCCTGCCTTGGTCTTTCTGGTGACCAGCCCCCATCTTGAAATTACCTAGGGGCTGCCAGCCATTAGTTAACTCATTAGCATACAAAAAGACTTCACTTTGGAGATTCCAAGGTTTTTAGGGGTTGTATGCCAGGAAATGGGGATGAAGACCAAACGTATATTTCACAATATCACACCCACATGATTATTACATATAAGAAATTTTGATGTTGATTTGGTAATATTATTATATAGTCCATATTCAAGTTTCTGTCATTATTTTAATAATGGGTTTTGAGGTAATTCAAAACCCCAAATCCCTCAGACTGGATTCGAGAGCCCATTGAGGGTCATTCATTACGTTTAATTTTTTCTACTTTCCTTTAATCTAGAACAGCACCCTCTCCTGGCCCTTTTTTTCCTTTTTTGGTTTTTTGGCGTTGATATTTATGCCAAATATTTCAGAGCCCATTGAGGGTCATTCATTACGTTTAATTTTTTCTACTTTCCTTTAATCTAGAACAGCACTCTCTCCTGGCCCTTTTTTTCCTTTTTTGGTTTTTTGGCGTTGATATTTATGCCAAATATTTCATAGGTTGTTCCCCAGTTTGGATTTGCTGATCCTGATTTTTAGGTTTAGATTAAACATTTTTGGCAAGCATACTACAGAGATGGTGTTGGGTCTATCCCATTATTTCACATCAGAAGGCACATAATATCTTTTTGCCTCATCTTTTCATATACAGTTTAATCACTTGATTTAAGTGTTGCCAGATTTTCCATTATAAAGATGACTTTTTCCTTTTGTAATCACTTTTAATAAGTGATTTGTGAGATGATAGTTTGTGAATATCTTCTTGCCCAACACATTTTTATGCAATATTTTTAGCATTTGTTGCTGAATTTTATCTGAATAAATTATGTTGGCAATTGAGAAGTTACCATTTTTCTAATTGTTATTTCTTCCACATTTATTAGTTGACATTCTTCTATGAAGAGGGCTCCAGCCCCCTTTTTAGTTTTGAGTATCACTATGGACTTAAGGATGCTTTTTATCCAGTGCATTTTAATTCACTGTCATCATTCATTCTTTGTGATGTTCAAATTACCCCACATTTGGCCAGTGTGTCTCCTATACCTTTTTGACATTTGTCCAGTAGGCTTTGTTTTTTTGTTTTTTTAGACAGACTTGTGAGTGCCTGTGGGTCTTGAACCACCGCCTTAGGGGAAGTTGCCAGTTGATTCTCCCTTGGAGGAACCGCTGAGCTAGAGCCAGCCCATCACCAGCAGTCTTTGAATACTTCCTTGCTTTCTAGCTCTATAAGATATTTCAGGCTACTCTTACAGTTTTCCTTTTCCAGGCCTCGGATCACCCATTTCTTTTAGGAACATTGATTATTTTAGTCGGGATGGTATTTAGAAATCAAAATCTAGGTGTTAGGTATGTTTATGTTCCTGGTCCCTTACAGTGGACAGAGCTGGGAAATAAATATTTGTATATTTAAAACCAAGTATTCTTACTAATAGTTCCAGTTCATCCCAACTTCCTCATCTTTTCCCATTCCACATTTGTACAGTCATGCATCGCTTGATGATGGGGATACATCCTGAGAAGTGCATCATTAGGTGATTTAGTCATTGTAAAAGCACTGTAGAGTGTTCTTAACACAAACCTAGATTGTATAGCCCCCTGCACACATAGGCTTTATTGTATAGCCACTGTTGTATATGTGGTCTTTCACTGACTGATATTTTATGTGGCTCATGACTGTATTTAGCTTTTCCTGTAGGGAGAACCCTGGTTGCCAACAACATCAATGTGTGACCTCATTTGCCCAAACTTACAATGTGTAAAAATAGTTTCAGAATTAGTATACCATTATCATTTCTAATTACAAACCTATTAAGTAAATTTCAAGATTTCTTCGGAGTCTTTTTGTTTTTACACTGTATCCTACTAAGGGTGTATAGTCAGTACTATGTTCAAAAGTTACTGAAATAAATGTTTTGTGTAGTTATATATTTACTACACAGATTTCTTTCTTTCTGTTTTTATTCAGTTGTTTTGGTCCCTATTTATTTATTTTTCGTTTTTGTTTTTTTTTTTTTTGGTGGCTGACCTGTAGAGGCATCTGAACCCATGACCTCAGTGTTACAACACCGTGCTGTAACCAACTGAGCTAACTGGCTAGCCCCTCCTATTGATTTAATTTTATTTTTTGAGTTGTTGAAACATTAACAAGATTCAGAAGTTAATGCTGACTCTGTCCATCCCTGTAGGTAGCCATTTTCATTAATTTCTGGTTTATCCTTCTGTTTCTTTTTGCAAAAACAAGCAAATATATTTATTCTTACTATTTTCCTATTATTTTTATCCATGAAGTGAACACTAAATATATTTCTTTGTAGTTTGTTTTTTTTTTACTTACAATCTTTTAGTGATCTTTCTCATCTTTTTGAATCAGCTGCATAGCACTCTATTGTGTGGATATTCCATAACTTCTTTATATAATCTCCAACAGATGGGAATTTAGTTGTGTCTAATATTTTAAAATGATATATAATGCCTCAGTGAATGTAATAACCTTTTGCATATGTTGTTTTATGTTTTTGGAAATGTATGTCCAGGGTAAATTCTTGGGAGTGAGGTGACAGGGGCAAAGAGTAAGTGTATATATAGTATGGTTTTTCCAAATTTCTCTCCATAATGGTTGGACCATTGTGCACTCCTACCGGCAATGTATGAGGGTGACTGTTTTTTCACAGCATCACCAGTAGAGTGTTGTCAAGCTTTTCATTTTCACCAGTCTGATAGTGAGAAATGGTATCTCAGTGAATTTTAATTTTTAGTTATCTTATGATTGAAGCTAAACATCTTTCGAGAAGTTTAAAGGCCATTTATATATCTTGTGAAATGTCGTAGAATTAGTGCTTTTGTTGAAATTTATTTATTTATTTATTTATTGGCAGCTGGCCAGTATGGGGATCCAAACCCGTAACCTTGGTGTTATCAGCACCAAGCTCTACTGAGTGAGCTAACTGGCCAGCCCTGAAATTTGTTATTTATTTATTTATTTGTTTAATTTTTTGGCAGCTGGCCAGTATGGGGATCGGAACCCTTGACCTTGGTTTTACAAGGCTGCGCTCTAACCAACTGAGCTAACTGGCCAGCCTGAAGGTTATTTTTTAATTGTCCCTTTTTATGGGATACTGTGTGTTGTTACGATACATGCATATGTTATAGAACGAGTGCTTTTAAGAGCTCTGCAAGACTGCCTCTAAGTTTCACTTTTATGCTTCTTTATATATATATTTTTTCGTGTCCGGCAACGGACCGCAACCCTCAGTGTCGCGCCAGTACCGGACGGCAACGGGATCGCAACCCTCGGTGCTGCGTCCGCCCCTCGCTCAGCCAGTGAGCGGGAACCGGTCTGTAT